CATAGGAGGAATTCTCACTGTCTTCAGTGAGGCTTACTCCCAATCCTATGGCTTTGCAAATAAGTCACAACTGAAAATGAGATGATTCACAACAAAGGCAGCACAATTCTTGCTTAAATTAAGGTAATAGAATTCAAGTTCTGAATGGCTTGGATGGAAAATCATACCATTCCAATCTTTAAATATGCTCAGAAATTCAAGGAATATTTTCTTGATATCAACTGATACTTCAGGTAGCAACAAATCTGAAACTACAACTGGGAGCTACACCCAATTCTGGCTGAATCCTGACTGGGATACGTATATGAAACATATGTTGCTGCAAAAATAGAGTATTTTGGTGCATGAAGTATTCTTTAAAATATTAGTGTGTGAAACTCCCTAATCTGGATATTAATAGTGTTTCATTTCAGGACCAAACAGGTTATGGTGTTTCCTTTGTGCTTAACTTGGATGGGAGAAGCACAATTTGGGTTAGAACCCTGGCAGGGAGCATAGATAAATAGCCTTTGGGCACTGCCTAGATACCAATCTGTCTGTGGTGGAGTTCTCTCCCAACTCCTCCATAAATAGTAGGAATAAGGACCCTGATCTGGATCAAAACTACTGATGGAACAAATGGTTAAAGCCTCCCTTTTGGGGGATCTCAGCTTAGTCAGAGGCCTGAACAGCAGGACTGAGTGACAGACATCTAGTTTGGCATCAGAAGCCTTTCCTGTTCCAAGATGGGTTTCATAAATTTTACAATTACGTATTGTCTCTATGGGAAAGCTGTGTGTGACTGAAATTTGCTATATAATATGGAAAATAAAATTGGAAAAATTGGGCTCCAGCTTCATATATTGCAGTTTTGCCTTTACACAAATGGGTTTTTTAAATACATTTGTATCCCATCCTTAAATATAATAACAAGAATTCTCAGAAAGACAGAACAATAATAAAATCATAATCATTTATCCATAGTACAAGAAGGAAAGCAATAATGTTGCAGCAGTGAATGTTTTCTGTTTATGTACAATTTAATTGATGTACATTTGTAAAGAACATGCTATCATTTCAGTTGTCAAAAAAATCTTGAAAAAACGTTTGGTTACCAGTAAAGGTAGTTCTAGATTTTTAAGATAATTGACTTATTCATATGTAATATATTAGTAGGTAAATATAAAATAAATATAGGTATATATTTATAAAAGTACAGACTATGATACCACCAAAGAGGGTCTCTTTTAAGTTTCATGACTTCAACATAAAATTTAAGGGTATTGTATATTTACAACTCTCCCATGGAAATCAACATCCTTTAATAGAACTATAATTTTGCTCAGCTCACACGATAAATGAGTGATGTTTCCCTTCCGTTTGATTGCTAGTTTGGAATATTTTTTACAAGACATGAATAGAAGTGGAATCTGCAAAAAGAAACAAACATGGTTTCATATGCACAAATCTGATGGCTCATATACCCTATATGTAAATCAACATTTATTTTATTATTTATTGGTTTAAAAAAATGTATAAGCCTCTCTTCTCACAATTTATGACTCTGGGTGGCACACAACAATAAAAAGAAAAAGAAAATCAAGATCCAAAAAGGAAAACAAGTCCCATATAAAACCAACATAAGAAAGCAAATAACTAATATATACTGTAAGCAACATATACTCAAGGTCACTAACAGTAGCACAAAATGGGCTCATCTAGCATTCTGGCCAACTGTATGCTAGAACAGCCAAGTCTTTGTGGCTCTATGGAAGGGCAGGCACAACAATAGAGAAGGCATGTCTACATTGTTCTTATAGGTGAACACAGCAGTCCTTTATGCCAGTGAAAATATTATGGGTAGAAGCAAAATAAAAGACTAGAATGGAAATGTGAACATTTTACATCTGGTGTTAGACAATTTAACTCTGGTTGAATTGAATGAAGCACTTACAAGTGCTTAACATTAAGTACATTATAGCCACATAGTGACCCACGTGCATATCTTATGGCATGAACATCACACTTAAATACCATCGCCATATGAAGATGGCTGGTCCTGATCTTTCATTAGGGCCAATGAGGAACAGGATTGCTGCTCTAATTTAGGCTCCTGCCCCCAGCTGATAGAGGGTGCTGTTTTGTTGCTAATAGTAAAGTATGCATCACCAGTGTTTATGCATGCTCATCTCTTTTATTTATGGGTCTTGTGAAAACTATTTTAAATCATAGGTCAAGACTTTTTTTTTTTTCTCCCAAGCAAGGGAGTAGCCAGTTCTTCATTTTTCTAGGAGAAGCTATAGGTAGTCCTTGACTTACGGCCACAATTGGGCCCAGAATTTCCATCGCTCAGTGATGCAGGCATAAAGCGCAACATCATGTGACCGCATCGCTTAGCAATGGCAACTCCAGGCAGTCCCGGTTATCGTCATAACTCCACATGGGTTGTTAAGCGGGAAAAGGCCGAAGTCCCAGGTAAGGAGCACAGAGGTGCTGCAAGGGCTGGGGGAGGGCTGAGAGGGCTGGTGTAGGCTGCGCACAAGTTGGGGGAGTCGTAACTGTGGATGGGCTTCCAAGTGCCTGAATTTTGATCACATGTCCATGGGGACCCAGCAATGGCCATTACTTTGAGGACTGATCGTAAGTCCCTTCATTCAGCGCCATTGTAACTTTGAATGGTCACTGAACAAATGGTTGTAAGTCGAGGACTACCTGCATCTATGTGTAGGCTGTCAATCGGCTTAACTTGCAGCAAGAACAAAACTACTTTCTTCCCTTCTGAGTTCTATATAGGGATTTGCCAGATAAATGTTTGGTAAATATTTGCCAGGTGCCCAAGAGAAATGTATTTAAAAAATATCCAAAGCCTGTGCAATATGAGGGAGGAGAATCCACAATGGATTCAAGTGGTCTGTCTGAACAGAAGAGTGAAGCTGGATGAATCTGCAGCAGAAAATAGAAGTTAGTCTGTCTCAGGCCTAAGGGTCTATTTAATGCCTGAATTAGGTCTTCTTCAACGGAATGCTGAGCTGTATTTTATTATTCATTTTATTCATTAAAAAAAATTGATCCCATCCTATATCGTGAATTTCTGCAAGAGGTAGGCTCAAGAAAATAATTCAAGATAATTGAAAATAATTCAATTAATTTTAAAAATATCACAGAATTATCATCCCTGTAACATTATCACTTGTAATAAACAAGTTGAAATGCTTAAAGCAGCACTCAGGAAGACCCAAATGATTGACCTCATTTCAAAACCTGATTATTTAGATAATGTAAATAATTCAGTCCAAGGGGAGAACATTCTTTGCTCAGGTACTACAGCTAAGAATATTCTTTACCTCTCTGTATAATTATAATCCAAACCATTTAGGGCTTTAAATGTCTTGAACAAGAGCCTGGTGGTTTCTTTCAAGCTGGTGTTAGATGGATTCCCCAAGCCATTCCTGATTGCTACATTCTTCACTTTGGACTTACAGGAAATCCCTAAGTTCAGATCAAGTCATAATGAGTTGTCCAGTACGTTTTATTGCCAGAATTCAATATAGCCTTCCCAACATCCAGATCCAACAGCTCAGAGCAGCATAACATTTGACTCACCAAGCCAAACACAGCTCACTAACCATATTTTTGGCTTGCTGGAACTTGACAATGCTTCTCTTTTGTAATCTTAGGAAAGCAGAAAACACAGGATTTCATATGTTTCATATGTGTTCATCTTGGTAAGTCCCAAGATGTGTAGACCTTTGCTAAGGACACCATGTTTAGCCAATTATCTGGAGAAAACAACATTCCACTGGAAATCATTTGTGCATTGATCTTCAAGGCTTCTGTTTCGAAAGTGTTGGTGATGGTTCCAGAAAGTTAAAATTCTTTAGATGTCTGAAAAAATACATACTGGAAAAAGCTCTTAGTAGTTTATAGAAGGTACAAAGGCTAGGGAACCTGATCTGAACTGAATTTCTGAAAAGAGGCTACTTGTGTTACTGAATGAGTTCATTGTTATGGTGTGCTGACAATACCTGATTTTTATTTTTTATTTTTTTGGCCAAAGAGCCAGCAGATGTCCACCGAGACTCTTGAGGACTCAGACCACTAGCCTTATGCTCCAAGGCCAGACTTAGGTTTTATTTCTGCCTCGCTAACCAGGGCGTGCTTCTCCCTGGTGTTTGTGGTCACTTTGCAACTTTATTCTTTGGAACATTACGTGTTGTAACAGAAGGGCAACCAGCTTCCCACTATTTGTTGCAAATCCATGGAGTCAAGCCATCTGTCAGTAAAACAGAAATACCTAAGTTCCTTTTCTCTCCAGGGCTCTGTTTGCTATTTTGGGGAGGGCTTCCATTCCCCATGTGGAAGAAAGCTGGTGTGGTTCGAAGCAAAGGATGGTTGAATAAGAGAGGGCCAAAAGACTGAAACTGCTGTTTTGCCCATCTGCCACTGCTTCAGGTGTATTCATTATTAATGGAGGTAGTGGCGGTTGCTGTTCAGATATGCAGGCCTGCCTGGGTAAATGAGACATTCTTCAGCAAATTGCTTCGTTTTTTGATTGCTGATTGTACGCGTGTCACCAAGCTGACTCAAGGTTCATCGATGCATGCTCAGTAAATTAGAAAGAACATAACTATGGATCAGCCAAGAGAATGAATTCTTTGCCTACAATGACCCAGGGCCATTTAATTTTCTGCTTAATTTTGTTGCAGTCAGTTTGCATTTTGGGTTATTATGCAGTAGGAAATTAACAATAAATAACAAATTTGGTCCTCCTGTGCTTGTAATGATATTTTTATAAATCTTTGTAATGCTCTTTTTAAAAGGATCAAGGTCTGCGCCAGGCTGATACCCCCACAAATATGCAGGATGGGAAAGAAAGGGGGAAAAAACATTAGTCCTGGCAGATAATCTCATAGTTAAATAGCAACTCTTTTCTCCTTTCTCTTTCTCTTCTTCCCAGCTCTCTCCTGTGATTTTATATTTAACATTAAACTTAAAGTTTTTCTTTTTCTCTTTTTTTCCAGATAATTTGAGGAAAATGGAAACAGATGAGGCTCAAGATATGTCCCAAGTTTCTGGTGAGATGGGATATATAAAGAATATGACTTAGAAAGAAAGGGGGAAGCTCCCCTCCAATCCAAAATTGGTTTGGTTCTCTACTGAACCATAGTGTTATTGTCAGGATAATTGATTCAATATTTTGTGATGTCAGAGTGGAAATCAAGATATAATTAATGCTTACCACTTCATATCAAACTTAGTAATGCATGGATTTCTTTTAAAATCACTTTTTTGGGGGAAAAAATGACAAAGGAAGGGGAAGCATACCTATTTGTATGCACAGATCTTTCTTGCTCTTGCAGGACAAGAGCCTGTATGGCACATTTTGAATTCAAAGCCAGATTTAGATTTCTGTTAGGGGTTTTTAATACGAAACATAGCAAATATAAACTGGAGGAGTCATTAAAAAAAAAAAAAGTCTTATCTATCAAATACTATCTGCCAATATTTTTTTTCTAAAGTTTATGAGTCTTCAGTTTTATAAGTAGTCAAAGACTGATTAGATTACCTTGTTTAGATTTCCTTAGACTTGAGTTTTCATTTTTCTGCAATGAGCTTGGCAAACTATTTTTTATGTCAGTGATTTGCTACATCTTAGAAGCAATTGTAAGAGGTGACCCTTGAAGGAACGTTACTGTGTGAGGTGGCAGAAAATGACATGTGGATTGGAGATCTACCAGAGATTTGGCTATTTTATAGTCCACTGGACCTGGAATTTTAATACCTTCCAGATATCTCTACAATATATGTTTCTAAAGAGTGTATAAAATATTTGAGATATTAGAAATGTACATATTAAAGAGCAAGTAATACCCTCATCCAAATGCAGAAGACAAAATTAAGATCTTCATTGTAGCCAAATAACCACCATAGAATAATGAGGGCGGAGTGTAATCTCAAGAATGTTAGTAGGTGTTGTTGGTCTTCTCTTTACGTTAGACACTCTTAGGGTCTTTGTCATCGTTTAGGCTTTTTGATATGGTTGTTTCTAAGGTGTAGGAACTACCAAGTCACTCTTTAATCTGAGATTACATTTTGAATCAGAATGAATGTTTTCAAAAGCAGGCGATTCACCAATTGTATGAGACTTTCCAGGTTGTCTTTTTCAAATGGTTCCAATAGATATGATTCTAACTACACATACTGTGATTTGTTTCAAAACATGTTTCTCTACTGAACAAGATCTGTAGATTTGTGTATAAACCATCTACAATATGGCAGTTAGGGTTCTTCTTGGCACAGCTCCCAGATCAGCACTCAGGGCTCTTCTTGGCATTGCTCCCAGCCATTGTGATCCCATGTTGTGGTTGCCACTGTACAACAGAGCCTGTTTACTTCCAGTTTGGCTATGTGAGTTAAAGGGAGTTACTTGTTTTCCATCTTTCACTTTGTGACAGTGGAATTATGTGCAGCTTGCCTTCGTACCTGTGGGAACTTCTGCCTCACCCCATTCCCCAACTCTTTGGTATGCCTCTGGCCAGAATGCTGACTTTGGCACTTCCCACTGCTCAGCTGGAGGGATCTCTGTTTCATAAGCGTACTTGGCAGCTTCAGTGAAAGCCATCATGGGCCACTGTTCAGTAGTTCTGAAGGTTTATTGAAAATTTGTGGAAAGGTAGCAGTAGCTGATAAAATTCTCCAATTGTATTGGAGAAGCCTTAAACTTCTCCAATACAAATTACACCCCACTTGTTAACTTTCTGCCTGTGATGTCATCTAGGTCTGGCCCAGAGGTGCATTTCTAATCTAAGCCTGCACAATTATTAAATATATTTGAGTTGTGATTGTGGCAGGGTTCAGCTTGTAGCTGCCCTTTCCACAGGCTTATATTAATACAAAGTTTAACATAGAGAGAGGAGGGCAAAGAGTGAACCTAAAGAACTTTGAAACCTTATGTCTATATAAGTAGCAAATTCAGCTAAAACCAAATCGAGGAGGAAATGAAATACCATTTTTGCAGTATCTCATGTCTGTGGTTTCCTGTAAAGACACCTGCATCAGAAAGAGGGGTGGGGCTTGGGTGGGGTAAGAATTAGGCTGTGCAAGTTTTTAGCAAGCCGGATGTTAGGAGAGGGAGAACTGACTCGTGACATCACTCATGTGCTCTAAAGTTTGCTATAAAAATTGGAACAAATTAATAATGTTACTCTCAAAAGTGCAAAACCAAGATTAATGGAATCTCTGTTTACCAAAGAAATACTCCTCTGAACTCCAAGTACAGGGGACAAACAATGGGACCTGTGCCCATACACAGCTTGTGAGCTTCATAGAAGGAACTAGCTGCCAATGCCTACTGCTGGAAATTCAGTGCGAAGGAATAGAACTTGTAGGTTTTTACAGTATGGAAAGTTGATTATCAACAGCACCACGGCACTGTTCATTATGGCCTTGTTCATTATGGGACTGGTGAGTGCTTCAACTCACAAGCTGGAAGAGGTGATGCACTTTGCCTGAAGGAAGGAATAGTCTGAATTCATTATGGAGTTATTGTTTTAAGAAGATAGGAAATAAAACTGCTTTCTTGCCTAAGATTACCTTTGTATGTTATGGGCATTACACCCAGTTTTTATGAGAAGTAGAGTCTGTTTTCATCAGATGGTAGAGAAAAAAAAAAGATAATTTTGTTGCCAATTATCTCCCACAAAAATTCTGATAAAGTTTAACATTTGTAAGTAGGCTTGTCAACCTCACGAGGTAGACCTGGCCAGGAAATCAAATCCACTGAAAGCCTAAAACTACTTTTATTGAGATTGGCTGTAATAACAGAAACTTGCAAGTCTGATTGTGCTATTTATCATCAACTATTATTTAGTTATCTGGCTGTTTTGAACTTTAAAAATGCTTCACCCCCTTTTGTCTAGGTAACAGCATATTTCTGTCAAGATCATCTTCCGTACTTCCTACCAGCTAGATAAATGCAGTTGGCTGGTAAAGGATGTTTGTTTGTCTTTGCTTAAACCAGAACAGAAACAAACATCATGGGTTGCCAAAGGCAAGATTAGTGAATGCATTTATGAGGAGTTCCCTGGCCATTGTGCTGGAAGGAGGTGTGTGTGCCCAAGGAAGAAGATGGATTTACAGACCTTTGCACTGAGATTTTACTATCCATACTCTATTTTTAATCAGCACCTGGTGTGCAGGTGCCATCTGGAATCATTTCCCAAGACTTGATATAAACCTTAGTCAGTGTTTGAACACAACTTCTATATGTCTTGCAGCTTGTGTTTAACAGATGGAACAAGTGCTGATTCCCTTGCAGAGGAAATTCAGTAGAGGAATGCTGAATACTTACCCATCCACAGTTCTCCCCCACAAATCCCATTCTCCTTTTTTTTCATAGTTTTTGTTTGTTTGTTTCCTGCAGCTGGAGGAGAGCTAGAAGTAAATTGTGCTGAGATGAACAGCTGGTGAGGTGGCACATACAAGGGAACATTAATAAGCTTAGCAGAGTAAGGGTTAATAAGTATCCACCCTGCTGCCTGTTGATCCTTCCTGTAAGTGCCCTACATTCCCATTATCTCTACACACACATTTGCTATTGTAACAAGTATTCTCTCTTCCCAATCACACAAGTGTATGAAAAAATACACCAGAAGTCTACACTTAATCAAGATCTTTCAACTGGCCAGGTCAAAGGAGATCTTGTCCTTTTCACCAGAATGAAACCACAAGGGGCAGTGGGTCCAGGAAGAGGGAAATGTCCATTTCTCAATTTGACAATTGGAGGAGGGACAGAGGGGCAAATTATCTGGATGGCATCTAGTTCCTAACCCAAGGCTGGAGCTGCTGTGCCTCTGGAACTAGGTCGAAAGGAATCTCTCTTTCCGTATGACATTTCTTCAAATGGCAGGTTTGTTTTGAGTGACAAGACATTTTATGGAAAATGAAAGTTATTGCCCACAATTTTTCTTCCATTTTCTCAGAAACATAGAATAATATTTCCCTTGACCAGGTCCCTCCTAAACCACCTCAAGTCCTTCATGTGAGGAAAGAGAAAGGAGGGGAAGATCCATTTCATCACTTGGCAGGTGTTTTGGTTGGGGCACCCCCCTCCCCCCACAAGTTCATGTAGTAAACAGCAACAGTGATGGATTAGGAAAGCCATTTAGAGGAAGGGGGGATGAAAATATCTCCATGAAAATGTGCTCACTTCAGCATTCAGAGCCTAACATGGTTTAGTCCAAGTTACCTGCCAGATTGCCTATTCCAATGCACGCTGGGGAATTCTGGGAGTTGAAGTCCACACATCTTCAAATGGCCAAGGCTGAGAAACACTGGCCTATTCCTGTACAGGCCAGTCCATGCTCAGATCTTCAGTGGGATACCTTTTGCAAATCTTGTTAAATAACTTTAACATCCATAATCATATCTACTTTGGTGTGGGCCTGGCCTGGTCCTTTTTGTTTAGGAGGGGGCTCAGAATGTATATTTCAATCCAGGCCATACCACTCTAAATTTTTTAATGCTGTTACCTGTGTAGTTGTTAAGGTTTCTATTTTTGTAAGATACCCAGAGCCTTTTCAGAGTAGGCACTAGGCAGCATATATATAAATCAGTAACCCAGGGAGCAGCAGCTTTGAAAAGTGGGACATCCAGATTGTGGATGGCCATTAGGAAAGGAATCAAAAATAAAACTGCCATTATTGTACCAAGGTAAAGACTCCCCTGAATCGTGTTCATTATGAGTAGCATCTTTAGCAAACTGTGATGTCATCAAGTGACAACATGAAATGGGTGTGATGATCCTGATGTTTGCCACAAGCACATAAGTCATGACTTGTGCAAAATATCATACACATTTCATCGTTGCCTCCCCCCGGCTCCTTCTACAGACCCTCATGTTTGTAGCATAGCCATGTGATTTTCATAACAGTGTGGAAATAAATTGCTTTTTCCAGGATTTTTTTTAAAATATACCAGTCAGCCTACAGTCCTGAGATTATCTGGTGGTCTATTATCCAAGTTCTAACCCGGTTTGATCTTACTTAGCTTCTTTCAAGACTAGCCAAGTTTGGCTACTTGCTGTTATCTACTGTGGTCCCACTATTATAATGTTTTCATCCAAATCCAGTGTGTAGCTATGTACTTCTGGTCATCTCACTTCAAAAGTCTAGCACTGGAGAATATGCAACTATTAAAGAGTTGCAAGAATCTCTCTAAGGAAAGATTACAATAACTTGTGGTTTTAGCTTAGAAAAATGAGTGAGGTAGGGTAACACTGATGTATATAAAATCACATATGGTGTCAGAAAAAAATGCCTCTCAGAAAGTATTAGAATCCAGGAGCATCTGATGAATCTACAGATCATACAAGTAAGATGAAAACAAGTTAAGTGCCATGTTAGTACATGTTAACAGCTAAACCATATAACAAATCAATGTTTATATTCATCACACTTGATGGATGTGTCTGTTTGGAAAATTTGCGTATCTTAGCAACAGGCTATACATTTGCTATACATGTCAACATGTGCACTCCTTCATAGGTCTTGAGGTATGTACCCTTCAGTGAGAATCTGTATTGTTTAGACAAGAGGAAAGAAAAAGGAACATGCCTCTTCTTCCTGTTTCCGGCTAGCCGCTGAGGCCAAAATATTGCTGCTAATGGCAACAAAACACCGTGATTTCACTGCTGTAGGAAAAGGTAGGCCAAAATCACACAAAAAGGTAGCCAAAACATCATAGTTTTATTCTTCTTCATCAAGAATAGCAGACAAGCCTTATGCTTCTCCCCGCTCTGAAAGAAAGGGTTATGTTGGCGAGTTCCTGTATGCATGTGTAGATGAAGATATGTTGCATGAAGCATGTGGGAAGGGGTATTGTGTATGCAGGTGTCCAGACGGGCATGGTCTCAAGTGTGCCCTGAAGGGCTGGCTCAGATCCTGATTCCACAACATCATCCATCCTTCCTTTGTGAAGTGGGGGAATGTGCACAATGGCCATTTGTAATACAGATGAGCCATTCAACAGGCAATGCCTAACAGATAGAAACATCTTAACAACATAGGACTGAATGACAGGGAAATCCTTCACCTGCCCTTGCCTGTGTAAGGGTGGTAAGGTAGGAAAAGGATCAACAGCATAGCGGCTGACCAAGGAAAAAAGGAGAATGGTTCCCTGCCTTAAGATAGCTGTACATTCATGTGTATTTGAAGTAGCAGATATATAAGCCAGCAAACATAAAACGGAAGCTTTTTTTTGCACTTCTTGACATGCAGCCATAGATGGGTTTGAAAGGAGCTCCCTAAGCTACATGATAAGCTTCTAGTTCACACTCCTACCCCACTCCAGAAAGCAGTCTTTTTTGAAATGAGCTATTTCCCTGCTCAATTGAAAATGTAGTAACAGTGAAGTGTAATTCATCCAACAATATGTGGCGCCAGTGAAGGAGGCCCAGAGATTAGATTATGATTTGTGCCACAAATGTTTGCCATATGATTCCTTTCTGTACTCTTAATTTTTGCTTTGGTTCTAACTGGTGAAAAATAAATGCCTAGCCATGGTATATTATAATGGAGTCTCTTTCACAAATACTGACAAACACACCACATCTTGTTTGGACTTTCGGGGAATAGTTTAGTTCTGTATATAAGCACCAACCACTCTGCTCCATTGCCCCCTTTGAGAAGTGAATGCTAAGAGCAAGGCAGACATGAGAGGAGGCCTATCATATCTAGGCTGCAAAAATCCCATAGGCCGCTAGATGCAAGCAAGGAAAGGCTTGTCTGCTGTTTCCAATGAAGAAGAATAAAATGGTGGTGTTTCAGCTACCTTTCTGTGTGATTTTGGCCTATGTTTGCCTACAGCAGTGAAATCACAGTGTTTTGTTGCCATTAGCAGGAAACATTTAACTCTTTCCTGCCATTTAGGGGCGAGATGGTTGTTTGCAGCCCAGATCCAGTATCCCTAAAGTACTGTCACTTGGATAACCAAAAGCAGACCTTCAAAACCAACCTTCTGAGACTTGATCTTGGCTGAAAGAATGTTTGCAGTGACTAGGATGTAATGCACCAAGCTGAGAGGGCATGGCAATAGCAGGTCTGGCACTGTCAGAAACTCAGCCTCACAGTTTTGTATAAGAAAAATTCCCTAACTAAACAGAGTGAATTAAATGCGTGAAACACGTATTTGGGGTTGGTCTCTATCAACAGCAAAGGAACTTGTTTGGGACTCGGATTTCTAGATGTCATTTAAATATTTTGTCCCAGTGTTTGCTTCTCTGTTTGCAATTGCACAGCTAGCCCCAGTTATTATTCTGAACATGCTTCTTAAAAATTAAATGGAGAATGACTATTTTCCCCATCTTTCCACTTTGAAAGTCATCTGCTAGAAAATGTTAGTGTGATTACATATCTATAAAATTGCCACACAGTACTGAACTTATCAGGGTATAACAACGTAGATGATGTTAAGGCATGAAATATGAAATATCATGCTTTGGTGTTCAAGAGAAGGAGAGCCAACATGTAGCACACTGAATAAAACGTATTTATTTATTTGGTTATTTATTTCAAAAGAAAGGTTTTGCTGAGGGACACCCAGACTGGAATGATAAATTCTATTTATTTGACAAGTGGTATTAAGGCAGAATTTAGGAATAGCCAGCAGCAAACTGGGGTTTGCTTTCATGTTAAAGCTAGTTTCCACAAGAAGGAGGCTAATGCCCTGTAATTGTCATGGAATATGTGGTTAAGAAGTGCATGTTACATATATATTCTACCAAAAATATACTTGAACAGTTTAAGCAGTACTTCATGAACCATTGTGCAAAAAGTTTAGGAATATCAATGGGAAAAGAATGTGCACTTCCCCTCACTATACTGCTTAACATTTCCTTTCATAAAATGAGAATTAGTATATGAAAAAATGTGGAGCCAAAATAGCGATCCATTTAGAAAGGTATTCCAAATTTTCCATAATATAATTCTCCTTGTTCAGCTATCTGATATACACTTAGTTGCACTTAGGGCCATAAAAATCAATATGAGAAGTTAATCATTACTACAAGTTTTGTTGACTTCAATAGGATTTAATTGCAAAATGCCTGGCTTCAATTCAATGTATTAAAAAACTGAAAAGAATGGTAAAATTATTTTTATTGTCACTTGATACAAAAGGAGGGAGAAGCAAATATACCTATTAATCTTTATACTTCGTTCAATTCAAAATCTGTTTTTAGTTTTAAAATAATTGCTAATCCAAAGCTAACCTGGTAATGTGTTGTGTTTTTGATAGTCTTGGAATCACCATCAGTATTATCTACATCTTATTTGAAAAGAAACACAAACAGAGCAGATACCTTTCCTAACTTGGTGGGGTTGCTCTTTCATTATCAGGGAAAGAAAGTCCTCCAGTAAGTGATGTTCCAGATGATGCTGATGAGCCCATGCCTGTACCCGAAGATCTTTCAACCAGCACAGGAGGACTGCCAAATTCTAGGACTGAAAGAGTTTTGGGTAAGGTTGTTGATACATGTGGTGATTCTGCTACTGTCACACACAAGGTGCTTCAGATCTACTTGGGAGAAAGATATTTAAGCCTGTACTCTCATTTTTGACAGACTTTGTTTTCATGTTTCTTTTCTGTCTTAAATATAAAACTTGTTCAGATTTAAAGAAAATGTCAGGCAACACTCTAGCTTTAAAATTTGAAATTCTGTTCAAGATTTCCCCTGACATGATTTCATAATGAAAAACTAAATGTGTGAAAGCTTTGATTATAGCGGAATGGAGTTGGATGACACACAAGTTTTTCCTAGAGCTAACTTGGCTTATGCTTTAAAAATCTAACATATCTAATTAAATAGAGAGATAGTACCTGGAATATTTACCTATAGTGCCAAACCATGTAAGTCACTGGTCTTCAATTCATGGATTGAAACTCATGGTTGGTTTCACTCAGACCTTATTGGTGCTTTTTCTATTGTTTACATTTTTAAAAGAAGAAGTGAGATTAAGGGAGAAAGATATAAATGGAGTAGGGAGCGAACAGAGAAGAGATGGTATGAGAGGAGGATGAGGGAGAGAGAAAAAGAGAGTTAGGGAAACCTGTATATTAATGATTGATTTTAAAAATAAGTACTTGGGTTTGAAAAGTATAAAGGGTACTTATCTAAATCCATGTTATGGCTTTCTTTCTGTACTTCTCTCCAAACTTAGAGGGTGTCTCTATATTCAAAAAAATAACAGCTAAGTGTTAGTTCAACTAGTTCCTATTGACCCTAAAAATGTTTGGCTGTGGTTGAATAGTGACCATGCTAACAATATTGAAACTGCTATCTGGCACTAATAATAATAATAATGACTTTAAGATTTCTAATGCAAAAAAAAAAAAGTGTCTATAAAATAGAGGTCAGAAAAATAATTTAACTCATATTTTAATGTGAACTTACCAGTTTGTTCTTTCTAATTATATATATATGAACTAGGATACAATTATATACTGAAATGTACATTTTTCTGAAATTTGAGATGTGGGAAGCATTTAGAAAACTTGCACGTAAAGAAAAATGTACCTGAAAATGTTACCTTTTTTCATAACACACAAACAGAATTTTGTGGGTAATGACAGAATGAATTTAAGGATGGAAAAATGAGAATTTGATATATTATTCATCTCTACTTAACATTAACAAAACTGAATTTATCTATGTAGAAATCTAAACCTTTAATTATTTGTAGCTTAGCTGGCAATGGAAGTCAGTACAAATCCACTTCTAACCTGAGATCAGTCCAGTTATTGAGGGAAGAATGGCAAAATCGGATTGACACTGGACGAGGCAGGACTGACAGGCAGAATTTCCCATGAGTAATAATTCTGTACAAACAGAATGGTAGCCATCTTTTTATAATTTGTATACTTTTTCATTTTCCATATCTGGGCTATTTCAGATATGCATGTCTATTGTGTCTCATCACTGAATTATCTAGCATTTGATTACTCTTATCTGGATGTATGAGCAGACACAATTGATATATAATTTGTATTTATGGTGATGTGAAAACTCTGTCTGTGTCACTTGATCTGTGATAGCTCAGACATGCAAGTCACTGTTCAATACTGCAGTCATGGATGAATCCAAGGGGAAGACAGGGGAGTCTGTCCCTGTTGATTCTGTGGTTTTTGATGTCATCAGTGAAGGTGCTGTTCTGGATAGCCTTGGATGGAGTTATGGTTGTATAATGCTTTAGTCTGTTTTGAAGGGCCACTCTCTGAAAATGGTGCTGATGTTTACCAACCTCTATCAGATTCCATTGGACTGTACATTTAACATTAATTTGAATTAATTAATTTGAATCTGTTGTGGGAGGTTATCTGGGACTTTAAGATTCAGTGTCATCAATGTCTAGGTGAAACCTACTCCCTCCCCACTTTCCATCACATTCACAGAAAACTGTTGAGGTCCTTAACTCTTGCCTGAGGATAGTATTGTACTGGATGTAGACTAACAAGTTGAAGCAAAATCCTAGCAAAGCAGAAGTGTTCTTCATTAATAGATTTGGCCAGGAACTGGGGTTCAGCCTCTATACAATGATTCTTCCAAACCCCGGGGATTCAAATGTTGCCCAAATGAGACTGCCATGCCAACCATATCAATTCATTCCTGGAAAATTCAAGACTTGCCTGAGTGATACATGCCTTCATTACTTCAAATCTGGATTGTTGCACTTTGTTTTATATAGGGCTCCTGTAAAGAGTGTTTGGAAACTACTGTTGTCTAGAATATTGCAGCCCACTTGTTACCAGGCACTCATACATAAAGAGAGTTGTATCTCACTCCTTTATTATAATAGCTTGACTGGCTTCCAGCTTGTTTCTAGGTAAAAGCTCAGAATGGTTTAGAACTAAGATAGGACCAGTTTTTCATCTATAAACCTCCCTCTCTGTTGAGATAATTTTTGGAGGTCCTCTTATGCAAGCCCCCTGATATTGGTCCTGTTCAGACCAGGGAGAAGGCCTTTTTAGTGGCTGTACCTAGGCTCTGAAGCCACCGTCTAGGGAGGTCTGTTTCATTTATTCTCTACTGTAATACCATTTCCAAAGGCCTTTGAAGTAAATTTGCTGCTTTATTATTTTCAGTTTTTTATCCAAGTTGTAGTGGTCCTCTGGTTATTATTTTAAACATTGTTATGTTTTGACTGATGCTCCAAGCCACCTAGGACTATATAGAGGATAGCAGATAGTAGATACAGTATATATAATCTGGCTCTAGAAATACAAAGTGTTCCATATTTCCTAAAATGCAGTCACACAAATAATTCCTTGTGACAGTGCTGTGGCCATACCGGGAGATTTCCTGCTTTGCTACATGTGAATGTACATGTGTTGATGAATTAATTACTGTGGTTCCTTCCCACTCTGTTTCTTTTGATCCTAAGATAAGTAGCAACAGAGATAAGAAAAGTCTTCTTATCATGACAGTTGCAGCAGAGCCATGAGGAAACATCCTTACACAGCAAATGGATGAAGCTGCCACTGCCTATAAAATGTTTACCTCTTTATTTTCACAAGCACAGGCAGAACTAATGAGTGTAGAATGAATTATAGGTTTGGGAATTTCTTTTAGCACTATTGCGTAGAATAGTAGTTTGAGGTTGAAACAATTTTATCCCCTCATATTTTACAAATCAATCTGCCACCACAAAAAACAAGAATTTTATTTTGGATACAGTCAGTCCTTCAATCCTATTGGCAGGATGAACCTTCGTTATTTTTATTTTTATTTAGTCTACTACATTTTAACCAACACACAATGGTTACCATTTGGATACCTCAAATTGGTGGTGATCATTTGTGGTGACTGGGAAAAGAGAACCATCAAGAAGGCTTCATTGAAGATTTATTCAGGAATTGTTTGCCATTTCAAACTGTTTATGAGATAGAAATATAATAAAATACAGTTATACAATATATTTGAGAGAGGTTTTTTTTATCCTACACACACACACACACACACACACACACACACACAAAATATAATAACACATTTTAGTTGGAAGCTAAAGAGAACAAATAGCTTTTCAAAGTAGCTTAAAAATAACAACAGATGGAGCCAAGGCTATATACCTTAGAAAGAAATTCCATAAAGTAGAGCCATCAATGAGAAGACTTATTTACTAATGCCCACCGGTCTAACAGTTCTGTTATTTAGATAAGCATTCCTTTCACTGCTTCATCCCAAGTCATTAATTTAAAAATTGGAGAGTAAAGGACCCATACTTCATTCTAGTTTGGTGAGGAACAGCAACTCTTGGACTACAGTCTTCAAGCCAGTTATATCTCTGATTAATTGTCATGCAAGACTTAAATAGCTTGCTAATGAGAATGTCATGGGCTACCTTCCTAAATGCATTGCTGAAATGAAGATACCTGACATCTTCAGCATTCCCACAATCTATTAAGTTACCAATTAAAAGTTAGATGTTTGTTTTTGGCAAATCCATGCTTACATCTAGTAATTGCCACATTGTTTTCAAGGAGCTTATCAAATAATGTTATGAATTTCCAGTTATTGATGTTAGACTGATTGGTCTATAATTTTGTGGATCCTTTGTTTTCCTCTTTTGAAAACATGTTTGTCCTTTTCTAGTCATCTAGCAGTTCACTCATTCTCCAGGATTTCTCAAAGATAATATCTAAAGGTTGGCCATCAGTACTCTAGGATGCAATACATCTGATCCTGGTGATTAAAACTTATTCAAGGTAAATACTGTATGTGTTTCCTGGCCATGCTTCTATCAATCTCAACTTTTAGTTCTGTGTTTTCTACTCTTCTCAAGTGCCTGGCAGAACATAGTCTTTTGTTGAAGACTGAGCCAAAATAGGAGATATGTAGCTCTGTCTTTTCTTTGTTACTTACTGGCATTTTGCCATCTTAACAGCATTTCACCATCTTAACAGCATACTGTATATCTCTTCCATTATTCTGAGAAGCCCTTTTCCTTATTCTTAGCATCCTTCAACCACCTGAATTTTATCCTTTCTGACACCAACTCGTTAGTTCCGAATTATATGTTTGCACTCTTCCTTGGTGACCGGCCCCTCTTCCTATATTCTGTATGCATCCTCTCTTCTTTTCAGAGTTTCATTAAGCTTTTTGCATAGGCACCTGGGCTTGTTCTGATGTTCTGTTCATTTTTTTAATTCATTGCAACTGCATTTTGAATTTCCTCTTTTTTATGAACTCCTACCCATCTTGAATTCTTTTTCCCAAGGAAACTTACTTATCATTACTCTTATAAAACTGCTTTTTGGAAGTTTGGGATAGGCATTTGCTTACATTCAGCTTTAATTTCCCTTAAAATCAAGAACTCCAGACCTGTATAAAAGTCCTTCAAATAACCTGAATCCAACCATAAAGGAATCATGGCCAGATATTTTTTTAAGATATTCAGATGTTGTGGTTTTTTCCCCCCAGAGGCAGGGTCCTGCTTTTTCCAAGAACAGTTGCTTGGGT